AGCATGATGTCCTTCTCCTGGGGCTGGCCTCTCCTGACAACATGTCCAAAGTATGTAGGGGCAACGTCTCGCCATCTTTGCCTCTAAGGAGCCCTCTGGCCATGCTTCTTCCGAGACACATGTGTTTGTCCTTTTAGCAGTCCGTGGTGCTTTCAGTATGCTGCTGCAGCACCCCCATTCAAACGCACCAATTCCTCTCCAGCCTGCCTTATTCAGCGCCCATCGTTCACATGCACAGAGGCGATGGAAAGAAAATACCATGGCTTGGGTCAGATGCGCCTTAGTCCTCAAAGGAACATGCCTTGCTTTCTAATATTCTGCAGAGATCTGTGCAACGGATTCACTCAGTGGAATTCATCTTCGGCTTTCTTGACTGCTGCTTCCATGAGCATTGATGGTGGAGCCAAGCATCACCCAATCTTCAACAGCTTCACGCTCTTCTCTGTTTACCATGATGTCCCCTATTGGTCAGTCGCGAGGGTTTCTGGTTGGGTGAGAAGTGAAATAAAACACGCAGTCACCCCTGAGTCAATTCCACTTCAGTCAGCCCCTGTGTGTCCACAGAGAAGGCTGCTGCATGGGTTTCCAATGGCTCGTTGTTCTGCCCTAGATCACCAGCCCTTTCTTCCAAGGTGCCCCTGCGCAGACTCAGCAGCTGGCCTTGAAGCTAGTGGCAGAAATACCTAATGGCTTTGGCCACCCAGGGACTTGGGCTAATTATTTCGTCTCCATCATCACTGATTTTCTTGGTCTGCAGACGGAGGGCAGAACGGCCTCCTCTCGGGGTTGTTGTCAGAAGTAAATAAGCAACTGCAGAGTCAATGTGCACTTCACAACCACTGTTCGGGTTTTTACATTGTTATTGGCTTCATTATACTTTCGTATCCCAGGCAAACGGGCCTACTCATTTCTCTTGCCGTTTCTATCCCCGCTGCACACGCTCTGGAGCCCATTATGCGCTGATCTGTGCACAATAACAGGGGAGGCTCACAGAAAGAACAGGAAAACAAAACTAATTTGAGAAACAGCATCCCCCAAATCCTCAGAGGATATGACAAGTGGGGCATCCTTCCTGGCGCTCCTATTTTCTGCACCTTCGGTGTTGTCCCAGGCTCGCTTCTTGGCGGATAGTGATATCAAGGCTGCTTCCCGGGGACGGCCTTGAATTGATGTGGCGGCCAAATGAAAGTGACTGCACCCATCTCAGTGACCCCTGCTTCACCTTGTCACATCCTTTCTCTCCTTCACCCACCCTGATCCCGGCCCGTAATTTACAGCCCCATGGGCTCTGCAGGATGGGTGGCTTCGGGCCTCGGTTATTTGGCTCTGTGTGTGGGTCCTCTGTAAGGAGCTCTCCAACCATCTTTCCCAGCTGCCTGGTGTGGACACCCTGTGCAGGTGCCAGCCTCCCCATCTCTGCCATTCTCTCTCCCCTGGAGCAGCAGCTAGTGCTTCCAGATGCACCCTGCACCGTGGCTCCTGTGTTTCATCTTCCGGGACCAACCTAGAGAATGTATTTAGGGCTACAGCCCTGAACGGCAAGCAGCATGAGCTGGTCAGAGATGCACAGGTGGCTTTTTACTTAATTAGAATAAACAAATAAACAGGAAAAACCAGCCACAGGCAGCCATCAACTCCTGCTGGTCTTTCAGACCTGGAGGTCCCTGGGTGGTGCAAACAGATGTGCCTGCAGCTGCTAACAGAAAGGTTGGGTGTTTGGGCCCTCCCATGGCAGTGCAGAAGAAAGATCTGCCAGGCTGTTTCCAGGAAGACCCTGTGGAAACACAGCCCTACTCCGACACACAGGAGGGGTCTCCACGAGTCGGAATGGACTCATGGGCTTTTCTTTGACTTCAGTCTTTCATAGAGGACTCAAACATGTCCATGCATGGCCTTTCCCATCCCTGTGCGTCCCCTGCATTCTAAACAAAGCCAGTCACATGCTCAGGGGCAACCTCAGAAAGAAGGGAGGACAATGGGGTTGGGTTCTGTTTCTGTCTGGTCACTTCTCTCCTGATGAATCCCATTGTCATACATCTGCCTGGTTTCCCAAAGAAGACTCGGCCTTCAGAAGTCAACAAGGAATTAACTGGCTTCATTAGACAGCCAGGATTCCCATGGTGACATAGTGAATTACACATTGGGCTGCTAACCTCAAGGTCAGCAGTTTGAAACCACCAGCCATGAGGTTTGCCGCTCCTATAAAGGGTTACAGTCTCAGAACCCACAGGGGCAGTATAGCCCTGAGTTTTATACAGCTAACAAAGCAGAATAAAGTAAAGGGTCAGATTTCTTGGAGTTGAGGTAGGTGAGACAGGTGTTGGGGGAGGACTGGAGACTGATTCTAACAGGTTCTAAAGGAAAGCTGACCCCATGGGTCCCACTTGCCTCTCCCATAACTCATGCTCATCCTCACCTCCATCTTGGATCGGCTACTCTGGGTGTTTTGTTCTGGTAAAGGCCTGAAGGCCCCTTTGGGGTCAGAAGCACTGGACACAGGGCAGTGAGTGGGCACAGACTGGAGCTTCTCAGATATAGTCCCCCAGCCTCCCGGCCTCTCCCACTTTATGGACTCAGAGTCTCTGGGAGAACCCTTCCATACAATAAAGCAGGAGGCTTGTTGAGAGACAGCCTATGGGAAGTACTCATCTAAGCAAGAATTCCAAGCATACGTTCTGCTTGGAATTACCAAGATTGTGGTGGGCAGGATAATGCCCCATCCCCCTAAAGGTTGTAACCCCCAAAACCTGTGATGCTGTTGTATAGCATGACAAAGAAGACTTAAGGGTGCAGGTGGAATTGTTAAACCAATGGGAGGATCCTGTTGGGTTCAACGTCACCATCCACCCACTGCCACGGAGTAGATTCCGACTCACCGTGATGCCCTGGGACAGTCCCGTGGCTTAGCGTTCCTTCCAGATTATACAGCGCTGAGGGAGCAGACAGACTCACTTTTATCTGGAGGGTTTGAACTGCTAGCCTGGTAGTTAGCCCTCCAATGCTGAACCCACAAGGAAAAAGGACACTAACGACTGGAGGCAGAGAGGCGAGGTGGGGTCGGTGGGGATCCGAGTGTGTGGAGTAAGAAGGACTCGGCTCGCCACCGCTGTCTTGGAAGACGGGAGGAGGAAGCCAGGGAAGGAAAGAGAAGGTCAAGGAATGTGAGTGACCTAATGAAGCTAGAGAAAGCAAGAAAACACCCTCCTCCAGAGAAGCCAGGGGGCTTGCAGCCTGCCAAGCTCGACTTCAGCCCAGGCAGAGCCGATCTTTGACCTTCAGAAATAATGAATTTGTGTGGTTTCAAGCCACCACATTGGGAAAATTGCTACAGTGGCGATAGGGAACGAATACAAAAGGGTTCGTGTTAAATGTCTGTAGTCAGGGCTAGTGATAGATATGGCATCAAAAAATATGCATGTGCTGTCTGGTTTCTGAAAGGCATAAAGTTTAAAGCACGCCTGAGTACACAAGACAACTTCCCACTTCTGGGAAGGAGGTCATATGGCTAGATGTCATTTAAATCAACTTTGCCTTGGGTGGTTGCTGCGGTGAACAGTTTTCCCTGTTGGCTTCCAGATGCGTTCTCCACCCTTCTCTGCCCTGCCCTGGTAGGCAGGACCACCCCAGACAAGGCCAACTAACTGCTTGCCCCTCTGGATTCCATTTGCATTCTACAAATGGAGGCACCAGCAAGAGCCTGAGGCCGCTGAGCCCTGAGACTCAGTGTCTCCTTAAGTGTGCTGTGGGCACCTCTCTCGTTTCACCCTGTCCCACAAGGACACAGAGGAAGAAGATGTAAGTCATCCACTCAGAACACAATTCCCAGAGCTGGCCCAGCCTGGGGCCATCATGAACACAGCCACACAGTCGCTGCATTTCCTCGCCGTTCCCCACAAGCCTCCCCGCCAGTCTTTGCTGTGAAGGACCCGAGTCAGAGACAAGTTCTGCAGTTTGAAACCAACGGCTTCCGCGCAGGAGAAAGACGAGGCTTTCAACTCCGGGAAAGAGTGACCTTCTCAGAAACTCACCGGAGCAGTTCTACCCTGTCCTATAGGGTCGCTCTGAGTCGGCATCAACTCGACTCCACGGCAGTGAGTGTGAGTGACCTCAGAGGCCAGGGCGAGAAAGCAGAAGTAAGAAGTCAAGTAAAAATAGAATCTAGCAATTCTAGTCGAAGCCATTGGACTCAAAAACTATGCAGGGTGAAGCCATTTATCTAGTCATTATACATGCAGCACAGCCATATGCAAATCACATGCAAACATAAACACTAACTCTCCATAGGGATAGCTTCCTCTTTGTTTTCCCTGGCTTTTAAAGCAAATCTCATTTGAAAAACGAAAATAGAAAATGACTCCGTGGTGAGATGAAATTTGTTTATGCATCTCCGCACCCCTCCCCGTAGTACCCCAGTACTTTAAGCTCATGGATCCCATAAGCTTAAGGGGATTCGTTCACTCAGCAACATCTGACCTTGAAGAAACACTAAGCACAAGGTCAAACTCACGACCTGGGAAGGTGAATGATTCCTCCTCTTCCAGGAAGCCATCCTAGATCACCAATCCTTCCCCACTGCTCCCCAAAGCTCACAGAGTATAAGTCAGGTGGCCTCTCCTCTGTGCCCCCGTAGGACAGTACCTACTCAGTGAGTGGGACTGAAGGCAGGAATGAGTGAATGCAAAAGTCACAGACAACCAGACATGGCCAACTACACACAGCTCTGTGAACTGCGGGGGCTTGCCCCCCTCCTTAGCCTCTTGCTCCTCCCCACCCCCAGCCCTGCCCCAAGTATTTTTAGAGCAACAACCACAAAAAAAGTCAGGAGGAAGATGATGCCAATGCTAATAATCCCAAATAAGGCTGTAAGAACGTGGAAAGCTGCCTGTCTGCCCCCTGCAAGCACTGGTTTCCTGCATATATTTTTAGCAAATAAAATCTCCAAGCTTGTTTTAAAGCCCCAGAGGCTAGTGGGCGGTCGGCTCTGGTGTGTCGGTGCCTACCTGGGCGGGAAAGAACCAGAAGAACAGGTTGCTGTTGTACGTCTTATTCACGGTGAGGTACCCTGAGTAACTCTTCAGACGTGTCCCTGGGAAAGGACTGACAAAACTCAATTCTCTCCCTGGTGGGAAAAAAAATCACACAAGGATTAGAGGAATGGTGCCACGTGCGCCCCATCTCAGACTCCACCAGCCTCTCCCAGGGGCCCCATCTGGAATAGACTCATCGGAAAGGTGGCACCTGGATGGGCACAAACGTCCTCACGGCAAGCAGCAATTCCCTGCCTGCCTGGACCCCTCCGCAGGTCGGACCTTCACAATTGAGCCCAAGGACAATTGAAATGTTCTTAACTTTGGTTGTGTTGTGTTTGGGTCCTCATACTCAGGAGAGTAAGTCAAAAAGGATTGCGACAAACCCATCACAGACACCTTTCTTAAACAAACATACAAAACACGAAGCGATTGTTTTCTTGAGGGAGACGTCCTCCGGGGTGGATGGGGTAAGGTCACCCAAAGGCATTCTCATCGGAGAGTTCTTGTCACCCCTCAAGAACGAGGCGGTGCATTGTCGTAATGGGAGAAAATTCCTCAGGGCCGTTTTTCTGGCCTATTTCTCACCGATACATTTTTCAAGGTTGTTAAACCTTCTTCCTCAGAAGCCTTTAGTGGCCGTCCTTGGAGAACATCTATCAGGAGTCCCTCTTTGGCATGCCCAAACCAGAACCTTCTGAGTTGAGCTCCCGGCCTTGAATTGACCTATCCCAGGAAGCCACTGTTCGATTGGGCCTTTCTTTAGAAAGACGGGATCTCCACCCCAGGGACGCGTTATAGACTCAGAAATCCACCGAACCAGGTCCGCCCTGTCCTCCGGGGTCACTATAAGTAGTGTCAACTCGATGGCAGTGTGACTTTTCTTTTGAAGGCACCCGACCAAGACTAAGCCAAGCGTGTTCTTGAGATGTTTATTTCTGTGCCACCCACCGATCACAGAGGCACGTTTAAATGAGTTTTGTTTGGAATAAACTGGCACCCTCTAGTAGCAATCCTTTCTGACTTTCCCTAGTGCTTTATGAGTTGTAATAGGATCTAAAAGAAAGAAAAGGGAAAACCACCTGTCATGCCCCCACTATGGAAGGACAAGTGTGGAGCTCATGCTGGGCCTCAGGAGGAGCCAGGATGAGATCCCCTAACTGCATTTTTCCAGACTCTGGCTTTCCACAACACAAGAGGCTGACACTTCATTAAGGAGGATGGCAGAGACAGGGGGACAAGGGCCATTGACTGGGGACAGTGGGAGTTCACAGGCAGTGATGCTGAGGAAGGTGACTCCTAGTGACCCTTGATTCAAACCCAAGCCCAGTGCCATCGAGGTAATAGAACAAAATTGGGTAGTCATATAGGGCAGGGAACCTGGCTTCCTTTTGGCAAAATGGTGCGAGATGGCGACAGGGTAGGAAGAGGCAATGCCCACACAGCTGAGAAACCTCAGGCATGAAAAATGCTAACAGGAGCTAACACTCCAAAGGCCACTGTACCAAGTGCTTTAGACAGTGGATATCATGCCTATTCTCACTTTACAGATGAGAAAACTGAAACACAGAGAGTTCAGTAACTTGCCCAAGGTCACACAGCAAGTAAAGGAGATCTGAGATTTAAACCTAGCAGGCAGGTTGCAGAATTTACTCCTTCCTCACCCGAGCACCCTGATTCTCCGGGGGAGTAAGACAATGCTGGAGGGAGGCAGGGTGTGGGAAAGGTGCCGATGATTCAGACGGAAAGGGAGGGGGAACAGAAAATGGGCAGCAGGGTGGGGGGAGAAGCAGAAGGGGAAGAAGTTGGGATGAGGAAGAAGAGGACTTTCAAGGTTACAAAACAAGAGTCCCCAACAAAAACTAACCAGGCGAGAAAAGCTCTTTGGGTCTGGCCTAGCAACTTGCAGATGAGTTAGCACACAGGAGCAGCTATGAAAAGCGTGCCCTTCACTGAAGACAATGGGTGCACAACAAAATGTGGTGAAGAAAGCAGATGGTGCTTGGCTACCAAAAGATATAACACCTGAAGTCACTGAAGACAATGGGTGCACAAGCAAAAGTGGTGAAGAAAGCTGATGGTGCCCAGCTACCAAAAGATATAGCACATGAAGTCTTAAAGACCTGAAGATAAACAAGCACCATCTAGCTGAGAGACAACAAAACCCACATGGAAGAGGCACACCAGCCTTCCCAACTTGATCACTGAGGACAAAGTGGGTGCATAAGCAAAAGTGGTGACGAAAGCTGATGGTTCCCGGCTATCAAATGATATAGCATCTGGGGTCTTAAAGGCTTGAAGACAACCAGGCAGCCATCTAGCTGAGAGACAACAAAGCCCACACAGAAAAAGCACACCAGCCTACCCTGGCACGAACGCTGAAGACAAAGCGGGTGCATAGGCAAATGCGGTGAAGAAAGCTGATGATGCCCAGCTGTCAAAATATACAGAATCTGGGGTCCCACAGGCTGGAAGATAAACAAGGGGCCATCTAACTAAGAAACAACAAAGCCCACATGGAGGAAGCACACCAGCCTGAGATGACAAGGTGTCGAAGGGATCAGGCATCAGGCATCAAAGACAAAAAACAAAAAAAAATTCACAATGCTATCATTGTGAATGAAGGGGAGTGCAGAGTGGGGATCCAGGGCCCATCCAGGGGAAATTGGACATCCCCTTGCAGAAGGGCTGCGGGGAAGAGATGATCCAATCAGAGTGCAGTGTAGCAACGATGAAATATGCAGTTTTCCTCTAGTTCTTAAATGCTTCCTCCCCCCCACTACCATGATCCCAATTCTACCTTACATATCCGGCTGGACCGGAGGATGTACACTGGCACAGATAGGAACTGGAAATACAGTGAACCCAGGACCAGTGGAGAGAGTGGTGATAGCGGGAGGTTGGAGGGAAGGTGAGGGAGAAAGGGGGAACAGATGACAAGGTCTACATATGGCCTCCTCCCTGGGGGATGGACAGTGGAGAAGTGGGTGAGGGAGATATCAGATGGGGTAAGATATGATAAAATAATAATAATTTATAAATTATCAAGGGTTCAGGGGGAGGGGGAGCGGGGAGGGACGGGGAAAATGAGCTGACACCAAGGGCTCAAGTGGAAAGCAGGTGTTGTGAGAATGATGAGGTCAACATATGTGCTAATGTGCTGGACACAAATGATGTATGTACAATTGTGATGAGTTGTATGAGCCCCTAATAAAATGATTATTAAAAAAAGAAAGAAAGAAAAGCATGCCCTTCACATAGGCCTCGGATTCAGGAAGCCTGCAGTGCTGTGCTGAAGTCCCTAGGCTCTAGACTGTCAGCATCTCTGTCTAGCTCCCTGCTCAGTGTGACTTCCTTGACAGCTTGAAATTGGCCCCACCCATAAACCAATCCCACTGCCACCGAGTCTATGCGGTGTCCTAGCTACCTTCCTTTGGTGGACAGAGAAGAACTGCTCCTTCTGAGATTGTCAGTCTTTCCAAGAAGCACAGGGGTTCTAATCGCCAGCCTTCTCATGAACATCTAAACACTTAACCCATTCCATCACCAGGGATCCTTGAAATCGACCGTATCAGGAGTGTTTGCACCCGCAGGGATGGGTGTGCTATGAATTTGTGGCCCTCCTCCATCACCAGAGCTGGTGGTTAAGCTGTTACACAACTGCCTTTATAGCTTCAAGTTCCTCTTTAAAATGGAAATGTTCCCCCAAAGGGAAAATCTCATTGAGGTCACACAGTCCCTTTTCCCCTGGTACTTTGCTGCTCCTGTCATGACTGCTGCCCAGCGAGGTGGCACGTTGGGCAAGTCTCTTGGCCTCTTTGTGCTCCTGTTTCTTCAATCTGCAAGTGCGCTGTCCAAGGCCTTCTGGGCACAAATGAGAGCTTCCCTGCAGAAAACCCTAGGGAAGAGCTCGGCAACGCACTGCTGTTCTTATCTCTCAGATGCCTTCCCTGATCTGGGCGGGGAGGCAGAACTTGTCTGCCGGGAGAGGAGATGCTGGGGACAAAGGGGCTGTCTCCACCGGAGACTCCTGAGCGCCCTGCCAGGCCAGGGCAAGGACAGAGCCTGGGCCTCAGAGTCTGATAGGCCTGGGTTGGTAATCCTGAGGAGAGCTGCTCAGTAAGCCCTCCAGCACCCTCAGCCTCGTTCCGCTTGCTCAAAACACGAATACTGACTCCAGGCCTCCCCACCCTGGGGTTTTGGGCCAGGGATAGAGAAGAAGGTGCACCCAGGAGCCCTTGGCAAGGAGCCGGACCCCAGAGCAGAGATCAGCCGGTGGAGTCTTGGGAGGGGGGCGGGGGAGGATAATGCAAACATGCCTGACACCAGTGAGAAGGTTGGGGATTTGAGTCCACCCAGGGGAACTTTGGCAAAGAAGGTTCGATAATTGAGGTTAATTTAAAAAAAGCTAGTCATGCAAAACCCTATGTACCCATTCTACTGTGACACGCTGAAGTCCCGACGACTTGTCATTGGCTGGCTTGAGGGCAACTTGATAATGATGATGATGGTCACTCTGATTTGCATTCGTCCAAATAAAGCCTAAAAATGTTTGTTTTTGTTGGGCTCAAGCCAGTGCTCCCACAGAAGGTTGGCTGATTCCATGTCTGGCTCTTTTCCCTTGCTCTTCCCCAATCAGGCCTATCGCTCCTGCTCCCCAGAGAGGAGGAAGCAAAAAGATACAGGGGGGTTGGGTAAAGAGGAGAGGGAAGTGCCAGCTCACCCTCCTGTGCCCTCACCCCAGCAGATATTTCTTCTTTTGCTCTGATTCCCCTCCACTTTCAATTAGCCCAGGAAGAGACAGAAGAAGATCGCCCTGCAGGGTTGGGAAGCCTTTAAAAACACTTCTGAAATATTGTTCGCCAAGCAATCCATCTTCTCAAATTCAAAAAGGGAACTAAAGAAAAGGAGGGGAGGGGAACAATGAAGGGATTGGATGAGCAAGTCGCAGGCCACAGAGGTAAATGCACAGGAGGCGGGGTTCCAGAAGAAAGACAGAGAAACGTGAGAAAGGTCAAAGTACAATGAGAAAAAGAAACGCTGTCACAGGAAGGAGCTAGAGGGAATGGAATATAGGAAAGACGTGATTGAA